GTGATTATGATCAAGATGTTAACATATAATTAGATGATCTCATAATGATTCTATCTTGAGGTTTATTAGATCGATGATGTTGTGTAATTGTTGAGTTGAACTACGAACATTTGTATTAATTAATGTTGATAACTAGTTGTGGTATGTGAATATGTTATTGACATGATTATGAGCTATGTATGAATTGATTGATGTGTTTCGACATTAATATAGTTGATGTATATGGATCTTGTGAGGGTCATATGATGAGAAGTTTAAGAGAAACTTAGCCATGATATGATATTATATGATATTCTAATGTAATATCATAGTGCATTGAGTCCTGACTGACACACATCATATGCATAAATGATTTTTGAAAGGTACATTATGGAATGCACAACTAGGGAGGGTCCCCTTGTGTAAAAGCTTGTGGATTAATACTTGGGGATGGCTTAGTTTGGAAGTTGTAGTCTCTCCCTTTCTACGCATGGGATGTATCTTGCACAACTCAACTATCCTGACCAGACTTAGTAGTATGTCCTCCCAATGAGAGTACATTGAGGGTGTGACCGAACATGTACTCCTAAGATACTATGTGTTGCTAGTGATAATACACCACATGATGTTTTTACTAGCGTCACATGCATGATAATATGTAATCTATGTCCATTGCATATGCATCTTAATGTTATGTGTGTTTTTTAATTATTATGTCATGAATGAGTGAATATGTTATTGTTGCGAATCTTCCATTGTTGTGTGTGTGTATATATATATCTTGTTTGTGTTTGACTATTCAACTGCATTATATACCGTAAGTTAAAGTGAGATGTTTCTCACTCCCCTTGTTTTGTGTTGTTCTTTTTGTATGTTGTTATAGGTGATCTTCAACATGATATTGAGGATACGGGCGATGAGACTTAGTCCTCATGGATGAGTTATACTCTAATAGGATGTGACATCAAAGTTTAGTTAGGATTTATTTTTTTTTTGTTATGCTTTACGACAGTTATTACTTTAATGTATTAGAGTTCAATTAACTTTTTTTAAGTTAAAATATAATACTTTCTATGTTGAACATTGGAGATTTATTTATGATAAAAAAATTATTTAGTTTTATTTATTTATATATTATGATATGGTCACAACAACAACAATAATAATAATAATATGAAAGTAATTGAGAGAGAGAGAACACATATGAAAGAGACAATAAGAAAAAAGAAAGAAGAAAGAGAGAGAAAATATAATAATATGAAAGAGAGAAAGAGAGAGAATATACAAAAGAGATGATAAAAAAAGAAGAAAGAGAAAAAGGTGTGTAACATAATTTTACTTTATTATTCAATCACAATTTACATAATTAAATTTGCTACTTTTATAATCATTAATTAAAAAATTATACAAATCATGATTTATAATTAATTGATAATATAAAAAACATTTATACTAACAATGTCTCATCATTAAACCAAATGATAATATGAAAGAAAAAACAAAAGATAAAACATATGCAAGGAGAGAGAAAGATAAACCAAAGATAAAAGATAAAGGAAGGAGAAAAAAATATATGAAATTAAGTTGTACATTAAAAATTATGTTTCCTCGTCATTTTTTCAACATACGAAAATTTTCATTTTTTTTTTCACAATTTAAGAAATGTTACTCCACTACCAATCTTATACGTTAATTATTTAATTTAATTATATAACGGCTAATTAGAACTCATGCACTGGGAGTGATATGATTATATCACACACATCAACCTTCGTCAATAAACTCATTAGGTACAAAGTGCAAACACTTTTGCTAGAAGAAGAAAGTTAAAGAAAAAACGTAAAAAGTAAAATAATTTTATGTTATTTTATTGTGTAAAAAGTGAAATGAAAAAAAATTATATACAAAGAAAGAATAAGACGATGAGATCTACATATTTTCTTTCTCTCTTTCTCTATATCATACCAATAAATGGAAGAAGAAAAAACATCTTTTAAATTTTTTCCCTCTCCTTTTCACCTAAAAGTGTATTGATATAATTTGTCTAAAAAAATTAGTGTAACTTTTTTACTCTTTAAGAGTTATTATACACATACATAAAGCATATTTAGATTTACATCAATTTTAATTGAATGCTAATAAGTGAAAGTAATAATTATTTACTTTTTTCTATTAATTTTGAAGTGATTCCTATTTAAATATGATTTTGTCTAAATGTAAATCATGAATTTGAAACCAAACACACCATCTCTATTAGTAAAGTATTCTATCTGAGTTTGTATTTTTTAGTACACGAATTTGACATTTCTTATAACTATTAAATTCTACTTTGGTAAATACATCTATTCAAAGAGATTTTTGAGTGTCAAAATAACATTTCTAGTTCCACAAGTAAAATTTTGAATTAAAATAAATACTTTGTCTAATTATTAAGAAAATAGTAATATTTGGTATAAGAATATTGGACATGTGATTGACTTTTTATTCGATAATGATGGGATATCATGTCCTATCTACAATTTTTTTACGACAAAAAAATAAATCACGTCTTATATTCTCTGGAAAACTTGCCCATTGTATTTGTTCATTATTTTCACAGAGAAGTTCCGTTAACAGGGAAGTATTGTAGCCATAAATTTTTTGGCACTAGTTCAACAAGATGCTGACATGCCTTAAATAATTCTAAGATAGCAATAGGGGTCCTCTCTCTCTCAGCTACGTTTCAGACCTATTATAATGTAGTGTTCTGTTCTGTTCTGCCTATCTTAGAAGCCAAGTAAATTGGCATTGGCAACGTAGAAAATGACAGAAAAAAAAAACACAACATGGTCCCCAACTTCCCCTGACCACAAAACAACAAGTGAGAGCATCGACCTTCCACCTTTTCGAGACTGAAAAGTAGATCGGAACAGAGTAAATCTGTGCTTATGTTCATTTGATCTCTGTGCCATGCAAAAAGCAGAGCAAAAGTTAGCTACCCTTCTGCACACTCCACCAGCTTCTAGGATTCTGAATCTTTCAGCCTTCACAAATAATGTGGATACACAAAACGAAATGCTTTCTTTACTTCCATAAAAACTACCTTTAGTTTGTTTTTGAATTACGGAAATTACTTTCATTTGTATGTACACATTTACACATTAATTGAACCTTGCTTAAAATCCCCATTCTTTCCAAATATCATAGCACCACATCATTGTAGCACTTAGGAATGCATTGATTCTTCACCAAGGGGTTGATTGGTTCCATGTAAGATTGGCTGGTTGAAGCAAAATATACTTGTTTATGCATGTTTTTTAAGTTTTGATGTGGATTTATTGAAAAACCAACATCCTAGACCCACTTCCTATTGAGAAAAACTCAAGCCCCACATCGACTAGAGATTAGGCAATTGAATAGTATATAAGTGGAAAACAACCATCACCTTACAAGCTAGTTTTGTAGGGTTGAGTTAGGCTTAAATCCACTATTCTAAAATAGTATCAGAGCCATTTAGATCCACTTTAAATAAGCCACCCACCATTGATGCATGCTTCATGAGGCATGAGGGAATGTATTGAGAAAAATTCAAGTCCTACCAATCCTAGATCATTAAAAAGGGTACCATGGAAAGTAACCCTCACCTTACAAGCTGGTTTTGTAAGGTTGAGTTAGGCTTAAATCCACTATTCTAAAACTTCCAAACACTCCCGGTGTGTATTTGATTTTCTGTTGGGATAGAGTCTAATGGGCATTTGTGTCAATGCAAAAGAAATTGGCTTTAAACAAGGCTGAGGGAGGGGATGACCCTTGGGCCATGGCTCCCTATATTTTAGAAGTTTACTGGTTAAATATATTTTTTTTTTGTCCCCCTCACTTTAACTTCTAAAATAAAAAAGAAATATTTAATATTTTTTTCTTTTTGACAAAAGAAATATTTAATTGTTAATATTGATACTCATGTTGCAAAAATTATCGGTATCGAGAATTATATCTAAGGATAGAGTGTTCAATTTCTCGTGATGTTATGCATATAGAAAAGTAATTTTTTTTATTGATTTGTAAGTTCTGAGATTTATTTAAAAGATTAATCTCCCACCAAATATTCTTTATATACACTAATTGAGGAATAGGAGTCGAACTCTGACCACATATTTAATGGACAATATTATCTACTAATCATATCACACCTTGTTGATTTTTAAATATTTTGTTATTATATTTGAAGCTTTGTTTTCTCCTAAATTAAAAATTAACCATTTTAGTCCATGTAATTTCTTTTTAAAAAAAATGCTTGTTAAAACCACTTACATCATTACTAATAAGGCACATTGAGTCAACTATGTAACATGAGCTGGGATTGATATAATATTTTCACTTCATATTTGAAAGGTTAAACAAATTTAACATAAGTTTTATTATTAAATTTTTAAATAAATTTCATAAACACCCTTTTAGATTCTGAGATTGTTAAAACACTCGTTACTTTTCCTAGCCATACAATAATTCTTTAATTGTTTAAAAAAAATATTACAATGTCATCCTAAAAAAATAATGTAAATCTTAAAAAAGCAGATGATTTCAGTGCAATTTTACAAAGTATCATATGTGTCAGTAGCATTTACTTTTATATATATATATACATATATAATCTCATAACACATTCAATAAGATTTCATAATCAGGTTATAACCGAATATTAATTGATAACCAGGTAAGAAACTTTTTAAGCTTTACTTTTTGAACGTAGCAGAGCTTCTGACATCCGTAATCACTTTCACACTGCCACACTAGTTCAATTCAAAATGCACGTTTAAAATTAGTTTAGAGACACCTGTCAACCACATTCAGCATTTAAAATTAATTCTATTAAAACCAATTACCATTTCAAAATCAAAATCATATTGTACACACTTATGACTTAACTATTGAACCACGAGGCAAATAATAATAGTAATTATTGCGTTTGTACTCCTAGTTCACGATGTAAATTATGAAGCATCATCATTCATTCACGAAAGACACGAACTACAATAATAATGTGTGTGCACAAGAGTCAATGCATTCATTCATTCAGATCGTACTCCTTTTTACGTTCTTGACAAGATTCCTTATTCATCGTGATGCACAAGATACGTCGTTCCTTGTCCTTACAAAATTTGTCTGCATGATACAATACAATACAACCAAATGAACCAATCATCCATCCACAACAGAATATCTACACATACCTACGTGTAATGTAGTATATTTTTGTACGATTCATGATTTACATCGCTTTTATGAACTGTGGACAAGAAGAATGAGCAACCATGTAAGTAGTAATAACAGCATAGGCTTTTGTTTTGTCTATCTATATCTACTTTGGTGGTACACATTTTTTCCTTAGAAGCATTACATTTTCGCCAACCCTTTATTCACACAACAAACTCATGCAATAGATGAGGGTTGCCAAACTTGTTTTGTTGCTTTCCTGTGTCTGTGAAATGGTAATCTAGCAAATCAGCCTCAGGGGTAGATGCCACTGTGGTCTTCTTACGTCTTTTATGCATGTCATCATTGTTGGTGCCAAATCCTTCACTTTCACAGTTCCTCAACTCCAATGCAAGTGACACGTGGCCACCTACGCCAATGTTTCCCAACTCTGATAAATCATAGGTGGCAGCAGTAGAAGTCATTATGCAACCATCACCATAATAAGGGTTAGTGTTGTTCATGTTGAACCTTTGGTCACATTGCAATTTCCCAATTCTAGGATCCATGGCATTTTCCCCATGATCACCACTTTGGATCCCTCTGTCCAACTCTGAGGCATGGTGCTGAACACTATCAAGTGTTACTAAATTGTCCTGAGACTCTTCTCTTTTGTTGTCTGAAGCTTGAACATCGTCTCTTGGAGCTTTCAGTGCGTTCTCTGATGATAATAGGTTGCTGCTCATCTCAGAATCACCAAATTCTTCTTTGTACATTTCTTCAACCATTGGCTTCCAAAGACGCACCCTTGCATTAATGAACCAATTTGCCACCTGACATGAATCAAACAATGATTAGCAAACATGGCACAGGACTAAAACTTCAGGTGGTCACTTGTTTTTACCGTTTGATCCCCATCAGAAACAAATGTTCAGGGAACAATACATTTAAACACTATTAATGTGTTTGACTTGGCTTATTTTATAGAACTAATTATATTTTAGTTTAATCTCTATACACTACATGAGCAAAATAATGCTCGTTAGTCAATCGGGTATCATTGTTGATATGACATTTAAAATAATTATTATAGAAATCAACAAGCTTATCATATATGATGATTTATGATATAGATTATATACTCTCTTTTTTATCAGCTTTATAAGGGAGTTTTGGAAAAAGTTATTATTTCTCCGCAATTAATCATTCCCAAACATGCACTTAAATGATGTTCTCCAATTTAGAAAACATTAATTATAGTACCTGGTTTCTTGTTAAGCCTGTTTGCCTTGCCAGCATAACTTTTTCTGAATCCTTGGGATAACTGGTACCAAATGAAATTTGGAAAACAATTTTTAGATGTAATAACATAAGTGAGAAATAAAATAAGTACATGGGAGGGGAACCTACGGATGAAGGAAATGCTCAAAGAGCCATGCACGGAGTATTGAAACAGAGGTTTCAGGAAGTCCCCTTTGAGGCCTCCAAGCTTGTCGCATTACACCAAGTTGCTGAAGGGCCTTCTGTTGACGAAGCTGCTGATCAACATAGCGGAGACGAGGTATTCCCTCTTGTTCTCCAAGGCTCCTTTGAGTCGCTTGAATCTGGCCACTAATGGCATCGCGCAAGCACCGAAAGTGGCGTGATATTGTGCGCAATGCAAGTTCAGTGTATGGTTCAGCTGCTCCACACCCAGCAACCATATCAAAAGATGACACCACAATCTGCATCTGGTGGCAATACTGCCGGTATCTTTTATCTACCTGTGTTAGAGCAAAGAAAGGATTAAGAGTTAAGTCACTAGCTAACACTCGTATATCACTATAACACTAGTTGTGCTTTTGGTATTTAAGCATACAATTCAATCAAAGACAAGTGCATCATATGTGTAAAACTAACTAGATTGCATGACTGAAGATCAACCACAACAGAACGTTGCTTTATTGGTGAACTTTCTCAATCTATTGTCCCACGTTAACCTTTCTGTAACCAATTCACTGCTATTACTGATCTGCCTAATACAAATCTAGTAATATAGTGAACTTTCAATGCATGAATTTTCCAGGAAAAAAAATACACACAAGAATAGAGTTGTACAACCTGTTAAGAAGCAACTTTACACAAACTTTTAGGTAAAGTGTATACATGCCTTGAAATGATTTTTCTTGGAAAACATTTTCTTTCTCCTAATGTTTCTTAGAAAAAAATACAAAAAAAATTGTTTAGTACTTCAAAATAAACTAAACATCCCCAAAATATTTTTACATCCAACTCATACTAGAAAAACAACTACATGACATCCAAAATATCTGGGAACTGACCAAAGAAATTATATAAATGAATAGAAAATAGTTGCGTAATCCAATATGATCCAGAGTCTATAGATTTACCTCATCCAACATGGACAAAAGTTTTGTCTTCTTGTCCAACAAATTCTGTCGTTCTGCGGGTGATAGCTCAGATGAAGAGTTAGCAGCAGAACCATTAGGACCTGAAGATATTTGCACAGATTGGCTGGTAGATTTTCCGTCAGAATCTTTGGAGCCATCTAAACCATTGTCCCGGAAACTCTGTTGCTTTTCCAAACCATTTTGCTTCAAAGCCTTTCGGACATTAACTATTTCATCAAGCAATTCCTGTGCTGCCTTGAGGTATTGTGAGTTCAAGACAGTGTTGGAAAAACCCTGTGATCCATCAGACTGGCCTTCACTGAGGCACATTGAGGGGTGTGGACTATACAAACCCTCCCTTTTGTGAAAGCCACCACCAGAAGCTAAAGAAGCCATGCACTCAGCAGTCCTAAATTCCCTCTGTAGGCTGGCCTCATCATCTTTTGAAGAAGTACCCTTCAAATTTGGGACAGAAGCAGTCATTAGCGAGGAGAATCCGGTGCTGGGATACTGATATGAAAAGTTAGGGACAGATTGCATAGAAGGCATCACTGAGCCGAGGCTAAGAGACAAGCCTTGGTTCTGCACATTTTGCTCACTTTCCACAAGTCCCAATTGTGTTGTCCTTGGAATAACATGGGAATGGGAATCTCCAGCATTGGCGAAAGAGTTGCACGCTGGATCACCAGCATTGGAATGTCCATCAATAGGCTGCATAGTCACTGTGTCAGCCATGGATGTGATGAACTTCAGCTCATTTTGTCCTCCCACAGATTCACTATAGTTATGAGGTAAAAGAGGATTCCCAGACAACATCTCTGCATAGGACCCTGAAGAAAAGGCTTGGTTCGGATACATAGTAAAATTAGCAATTGAAAATTCAGATGCTTGTTTCTGGTCCCTCTACAACTGACTCAGCTACACATCTCCTTCACCACTCAGGTTCCAGAAACCAGTAATATGCCGAGGTAAATATATAATGTTGCCTCTGCTCACTGCTAGAGGCAAGGATGATGATGTTGCTCAAACAAAAAGCTCAACACAATGGAGTACCTAAGTTGAATTACAATAATCCAAAGGGGGGAAAAGGTTAATGAAGAGAAAGATTAACAAAACAAAAGGCACGTAAACCCAAAGGAAAAGATTACGTTGTTATAAAGCAAAAAGCACCACATCATAAGCAATCAGAGACACATATTTATATCACTATCTACAACAGTGCAGCTTCAATTAGTAACTAAAAAACATTGTCTTAAACTTGAAGGGGTTTGGCCAAACCAAACGCGTAGTTTCATCACCTTAAGGTGACCATAGATTAAGAAAAGAAAGGCCTTGTTTGCCCTGCTAAGTAAATTGAGCAAAGGAAGCTTCTTTGGAAAACGTTGGTACGAGGTAGCAGAAAACGATGCAAACAAACAAACCTGAAAGAATATCAAAGAAAACTCCAAACGAGGTGTGAAACCGAAACCCCATAATTCCCTTCAAAGTTCAAACCCTATGGAGGAAAACTGGAAACAGTTGAAAGTGAAAACCACAGAAGCTAGGTGAGGTGAAGAACACACAAGAAAAGCGAAACTGAAAACTGAAAAGAGAACCACTGCAGCGGTTAATCAAAAACAGAAACAGAAGACAATCATGAGTGAAAATCTGAACCCTTTGAAGCAGAATTTAACTTTTTTCACTCCACAGTAACTAGCTTCTTTTTACATTCTAAATTTCTGCTTTTTATCATAAACACAAAAAATTACCCCACCACCCCTCTTGTTAGAACCAAAGTTTGTGAGCATGAGAAGTACCATCTACCATCATAAGCAACAGTACACCACCATATTCATCATCATCATCATCATCTTAAAGCCTCTCTTTTTAATCATTTTTCTCATTGTTCACTGTTGTTGACAAAAGCCAAACCCAGAAAGAAGAGAAAAAAAAGAGAGTGAAGAAAGAAGAGAAATACCTGAAGAAAAGAAGAGAGATGAGAGGGTAAGAGGAAAAATTACAGACAAGAATCCACAGTTTGGCGAAGCCCAGACAAGTGGCAATCCCAAGACATATAAATTTCAAATTATCTTCGGAACAAACAGCGGCACCAACACCAACCAATGAACAAAAAAGATTATTAATTAAATAATAATCAACCAAATTGCTTACTTCTACACGTCAACTTCTTTTAATTTATTTTCTCTATTAATTAAATATTATGCATGCTCTATTATAAACTAATGTTTCGTGCCAACAGGAGTAGTAGTATTTTAAACAGGTGAAAACTCCTCACCTGTAAATTAATTTTAACCTGAATACTAGATATATTGTTCAAATAAATAATTAATTAAAATTGAATTTTTTTATAAATTATGATTTTTTATTTATTTTAATATATACGACTTGTCAGTGAAAACAGTGATATAGATAATTTTTATTAAATAAGCATATAAAAATCATACTAAAATATATACAAGATAAATTGTTTAAACATTTTTTATTCAGTTTTATTGTCATTTATTTTGGTATCAGACCACTTGTATTTGTTATAGAAGATAATTTTATGTAAAATAATCACGAGCGATAAGATTCTCCATTTTAAAGTATTTAACGGAAGTGTAAATTCAAAATTTGAATTCGTGATTAAGTTAGAATATATTTACATGATTTGGTTCGTATTGCTCCACGTACTTAGTATTTCTGTCATTTAATGTAATGTATATATTTTAAGAAAATAATATTCTTGTAATAAAATTATTTTACCTAACTAAAATAGTTATATCTTGATCAAATTGTATTTATCTTTGGACTAAGTCAAATTAATTTAAAACGAAATCTTAAAATAGTAAAAAAAATATTCATATGTATAATTATAATTACATATAAACTAAAAACTAGTGCATATTAATTTTTAATTGTAAGTTTGAGATATTGTATGAATATGACCAAAAATTTCATCTCATATTTTCTTTTAGACCATAATCTAATACTTTTTTAAAATTCTATAGTGACAAATAATTTAAGACAAAAAAATATTTTTAAAAAGATAAAAGCAATGCCTTTTTTTACCTTAATCTTTCAAAAATTTAATTTATTACTTTACAAAATTTAGATATAAAAGATTAATTCCACTAAAAGTGTAAAACTTGTTTCTTTAACCGTCGTAAAAAAAAAAACAATACAGCACTTTTAAAGTTTTATGATTATTATTTTTTATTTATTAAAAAATACTAGCTAAAGGAATATTTTATGGTTTTCATAATTTTTTATATTTTTATTGAAAGAAAAAACATTCTTTGTTTTGAAAAAGCACAAGTAGATATATTTACATTTTTTTTGTATAAAGGATAACTATCCTTTCTCAACTCTCCAAACATTTAACGTAAAACTGCATACTTAGAATTCGAACTTAAAATTGTTAAAACAATTACTTATCTATTGATCCACGAGCTTGTCTATTTTTAAATAGCTAATGTAGTAGTCATTGCAAAACATTTTAATTTAGTTTAAGAAAGATTTTCTCTTTATTTTTATACTCTTTTTATTAATTGAAAATTGAATTCAAGGAAAATTTATAATAATTCACATATTTTCTCAACCAATTAAGTTTTTTTCTTTTCTTTTTCATTTGTTACAAGGGCTAAAATTTAACAAAGTGTGAGTTAATTAGATCCAATTAGTCTTTTTATTTCTGTATACATAAAAGGGATGAAAAGATTGGTGTTGGATAAGAAGCATTAAATAATTTGTAAATTTCAGTGCCAATGATAATAGAGAGATTATCACGTGTGAGAAAGGGCATAATAAAAGAAATTTCAGTAGAATGAAAAAAAGGGTGTATAGAGCAATGAAATTGAATAGAATAGAAGGAGTGGGTGGTTGACTGGTTGATTGCTTGGAAGTGTTCAAATCAAACCCTAACCACCAGTTGGTGGACCTGTAACCCTTTTCCTTCTTAAACCTACACTTAACGCATAAATCATAGTCTTCTGTTACTGTTAGGAACAACAATAACATAACATCAACAAAGAACAGCATTTGTGAACAGAAACTGTCTCTGTCTCATAAATAAAAATGAAGGGATATCATGGTTGGCTGGATTCGCTATTTCAAGTAGGTGAAAGTGACAAAATCACGTTTCGACGTGTATGCTTCATGTCTTTTGAATCTAACTACAACCCTCTCTAATCCTCTACACGCCATCCCTTATTAATGTTTTACCTATTAATTAATTGTTATTAGGTCAAGTGATGTTATTATAAAACCACTTTTTTCATATAATTATGTGCTTTGTTAGTTATTAATTAGCTGGATGGGGAGAGTTATTGCCTCATTGCTCTTCACACTTCTTCTTCCTCTCTAGACTCTACTACTTTTCTACCCTTCACTTTTATGAAATGTATAATGCCTTTATTAATTTCTGCTAGCTTTTAAGTTTCACTTAATTGTAATTTTAGCTTCTTAAGTAATCTCACCGTAAGATTTTATTTTATATATTTCTAATTAATTGTGTTATTTATGTCTTAAGTTGTGTTTGGTAAAGATGCAAGAGAAAAGATGTTTGTGGAAAATAATGATTATTTGCAGTCTGTTAGACGAGAAATTACGTGAAAATATGAAGAATTGTACGAAAGTTGACCTTAAAATCAAAAAAATGCAAGAAAAAAAGTGTGAAGAAATGTGATTGAGTGACACCATTTTTTTTATTCATAAAATCTTAGATAAGGGATGGTACATTAGAATCTGTTAGAAAAAATAATCATAAACTTTAAATTTTTAATTAATTACATAATTATTATAAAAATTAACAACCTTAATTACTATTTAAATTAAATTTATATTATTCTAAATAAATACATATTTTTAGTGCCTATTTTTTAATTTTTGTAATTTTAAGTTAAATCAATTATAAATATAGTTTCATTTGAAAATTGTATTTAAAAAGTTATTTAATATATTATTATTCAATTGTCTATGATTCCAAAGTCGATGAATCTTCTGGTCTGTTAAATACTTCATAAAATTCTCTTTTATATATAAATTATTATTTTTTAGGAGTTATATTATTTAATGAAAATGTTGATAGGGATATTTCTTAACTTAATTTCTCTTTCAATCTATCATTATTTTTATTTTTATTTTTAAATTAATTTCAATATTTTAAAAATCAATTATTAAAATTAATTTTGTATAAATATAAATTGCTTATCATTTATCTTAAACATAATTTAAATGTTTATTGAATATAAATTGAAAATTAAATCATAATACTTGGGTAACTTGTAAATTAAAAAATATTTATTTATGTAAAATTTAATTGAATAAAACAAAATTTATTATATGTATTTTACGTGTTAAAATAATTGTTTTATTTTGAAATTTATGCATGAATATATCATGATGAGTTGTAGCATAATGTGTTCTATTGAATTAGGAAAAAAAAATACTTTTTGTCATAAAAAGTCACTTTTTTTCATGAATATAATCCAATAATTTAAAGTTGATAATCAAATATTAATCTACACTTGTTAAGAGATGTGATTTATGCTAATCAAATATTATTTTAATATTGCATGAATCAATTATGGAACCATGATGTCGACCCTTGTTTTTCAAAACAATCACTAGACTAAAAAGTTTGGTTAATCATAAAAAAGTCTTCTGATATTCCATCAATATTTTAATAATATAAAATCTTGTGATATTGAATCATAATTAACCGATTTTTTTTAAAAAAAAATATCAAAATTCAGTTGTATTTAGTTTAGATTATTTTTTGCTTACAAATTGTTCATATTCAAAAAAATATAAAAATTTTGATGGATTATTTTGTAAAATAAATTTTGTGAAACTTTTTTTTTATAGAATATATATATATATATGTATA